AGTTAAATAATTTCAATTATTTACGTGGGCATTGCAATGGGATTTGGCTGTATCCTTCGGGTCCTCCGTGTGCCTCCGGCGCGCTCTTGTAATAATCAAAGGACCCGAAGGGCCCTTGCCGTAAGCCGACGTTGATTAAACGGCAAGGACCCTTCGGGTCCTCAAAAATTATTTAAACTAATCGCTGCATTTTGCGGCCGACCAGATTCGAACCTGTGACCAACGAGGCTCCTGCTCGGCCTCCAAGTACAATTTTAGCGATCACATTACCCACCAAAGCCTGAATCTGCAGAGTTAGCTGCCCTTAAGATTTCCTCCCAAAAGATGGAACCTCGAGGCATGACCCGGCGACGGACAGACGGACAGATAAATTTGCCACTGGCAATCCTTCAATCAAAAGACCCGAAGGGTCCTTGCCGTTTAATCAACGTGAGTTCACGGCAAGGATCCTACGAGTCGTCGAAAACGCGACCGTGAGCAAGGTGGGTGCGGCAAAAAAAGTACGCCTGAGTGTTTTCACACGGCAAATTGAATTCTCCGTACCAGATTCGAACTGATGTTGGTGGATTCAAAGTCCACAGTCATAACCCCTAGACCAACGGAGAAATGATACATCTTGTCCCAGTTGCCGGAATTATAATACTGACGTTGATTAAACGACAAGGACCCTCCCCGCGTCCTTAATAGCGCGACCGAGAGCGTAATGAGTGCGCAAAAACAATATACGACAGAGTGATTTCATACGACACAACTGAATTCTCCGTACCAGATTCGAACTGATGTTGGTGGATTCAAAGTCCACAGTCATAACCCCTAGACCAACGGAGAAAATTTATATAATGTCCCAGCTGCGGGAACCGAAGCACCGATTGTATCTAAACAGGTGTTGTTTTCCAAAGCCTTATTGATGATCAAGGTTGAGCCTATACAGTGTAGGATGTAACTCTAAAAATGATGAACCGAGCTTAGCATGCTGTGCGGAGATGTACGATAAAAATGATTTCGGCGATTTGATTTTCATGCTGCCCCTTCTCTACACCGTTTATTTAATCACCAGTTTTCAAGGGCCGCCCCCTCCACGCCGACGACTTCGCCGCCCACGGCCGCCTCGCCGCCCACGGCTGCACCCGCGCGGGCCATGGCCAGCACCACCACCGCGCCCAAACTAGGCCGCGCCGTTGTCTACACCGACGACACCGCCATCACGGTCGTCGCCACGAACCCGAAAAAGAAGGGCACAAAGTGCTCCCGCCGCTTCGACTCGTACATGTTGGCGCGCACCGTGGCCCAGTTCAATCTCCTCGGCGGCACGGCCGCCGACCTCCGCTACGACATCGCCCACGGCTTCGTGGTGGTGGACATTGAAGACCTCGGCTTTAAAACGAAGCTTACAATTGTTGACGACCCGAAGGGTCCTTGCCGTTTAATCAACGTCGGTTTACGGCAAGGGCCCTTCGGGTCCTTTGATTGAAGGATTAGGAATTCCTACCAGGGGCAATTTTGTCCGTCCGTCCGTCCGTCCGTCCGTCCGTCCGTCTGTCTGTCCGTCCACGGGTAAATCCGCGAGGTTCTGCCTTAAGGAGGAAAGGGCAGCAACTCGGCCGATTCAGCGATTGGTGGTTAATGCGATCGCTAAAATTGGGAATGGAGGTCGAGCAGGAGCCTCATTGGAATCATGATAGAAGAAGTTTTTGGTCACAGGTTCGAATCTGGTCGGCCGCAAAATTCAGCGATTATTTTAAATAATTTTAA